TGATGATAATAATAATGATGATGATGATGATGATGATGATGATGATGATGATGATGATGATGATGATGATGGTAGTTCCGACGAGTAATAGGTAGAATGGGGAGTGAGATTTACGTACACAATAGCAAGAATAGCCAATATGACATTGAAATCCTACTATTAGGCATTGCCACCAGATATCCGAGGTTTAACTTGCCATTTCTTGATGAAGATGATACTTTATTACCGAGAGTTTGGGTTTTATTTAACATCCAGGCTCGTCCACCATGTTTTAAGTCAAGTTGCTACCCAAGCTATCTTAATGTTTAATGGCGTGGAGATTTTCAGCACGCTCAATTACTTCAGTGTTAAGATGCGACTTCAGAGTTTGTATAGAAGGTTGACCTTTAGATTATTCTAGGCTTATTCATATTGAGACCTTGTCAATTTATCACGGAATAGGTTCGGCTTCGTCTGATATAGGCTCTTGTAGATAAAACGGAGTTGATTGGTGCCAGTAAGAACATTGTCGTGAATTTATGCGGGTTCTGTATCGTGCGGATGGAATACACTTCGTGCATCCTCAAATTCCTGTATGTGGGACAAAGCAGCAGAAATATAAAAAAAGACCACGTTGTCAACTCACATACTAACTAATCTGAAGTAGAGCTTTTGACTTCAATGTCTGTGGTTAAGTAAAGAACGTCAACACAAACGGTAGACTGTTTTGTGGTCAGAAACAACCTTCAAAGGAGTGAAGAGCCTGTGAGTTCGATTATGCATCATTTAAGAGGGATATTTGCCAGAAGTAAATTGTGATATATGAAATACAGCAGTCAGCTGAGGGTTACTTGGTGTAGCTAAGGTTTGGGTGGAACTTCAGACTTATTTAAGAATTAACTTCCAATGAAAAATTCGTGAACCAGATATATGAAGTTAAGTGTATGAAGATTAGTACAGCAATGATTACCGGTACAAAACAGGGAAAGTAGACCAACTAAGAACGTCGGTGTTCCACATTACAGCAAGTGATAAACAGGGTCGTAAATGCTGACAGGTTGAAGTCTGTAGATCAATCGGACATGTGGAGGTCTGTTTTAGGTCATCTGAGCCTATATTTATCAGTAAAATAAAAGATAAAATGCAAGAATCCGAAATGGTATATTGAAGCCTCAATTTCTAATTAAATTTCGTCATTTCATCCACATAATATGCCAGCACCCATCTGAAACGATACAACATGCAGCCACGATTCTATCCACATTTACTCTGTTGTCATCCTCCGTTTGCCTTAAAACCTTACCCATGGTATAAGTTGCTGACCCGACCCAACAGCACTTTTGTATCACTTCTACGCTGGTTTGAAACGGTGACAAGCACCATCGGTATTCAGTTGATAGAAACTGTGTTAATGGCCATGAAACGGAGCAGTAGCGTGTTCAAACACAGTACTAGCCTGCTTATGGACCAGAGGGCACCTCAGTTGTGAAACGTAGTAGATCTATGCTACCTGACCTATAAACAGCCTTGAAAACGACGTGCATTTGCACCTTGCTGTGTGATATTACATTGGATTTTGCAGGTTTTAGATAGGACAGACGAATCTACGGATCGATCAAGTAGAAACAGATTACTGCAAAGACGTACATGTTCTTCAATATTGAGTTCGCGGAAACTACCGATTTTCGGTAGGGCAGCACCGATCACATCGTTCACACGAACCGGTTCATGCGTGGTATGAGTACGTCCTTGTATCGAATTGTCACATTCTGACCAGGACTCTTTGGCGGCACACTTTTCACTCCAGTACCGTTCATTTTGCAACTTTGCTGGACCGAAATGAGGGACATGTCCGACAAGGTCTGGAGCGATTGGTTTTCCTTTCTGGTGTTTTGGAGTTGGTGGACTTTGATAATTCCACGAGCTGAATTCTTTGGAGATGGAAGACCAGTGAAACTGTGTTAAATAATGGAAGTTGCTGTAAACGGTAAGTCCATAGTGTTCACGCATAACCTAGCCTGGGGTGCTGAAGATGGACTTTAACATCCCCAATAGGCAATGGTTTACCTCCAGATAGCTAGGTCATTTGGGTCATATAATTCATTTCAGGCCAACCTCACACGAAGATAGATAGACACGACAGATAGACAGACCATCCATTTTGGAAGGCCAGTTCCTAGTCATGAAATATGACGACATTCTTGTTCCTTGAATCTTTACGGTTCTTGTTTTAAAATGAGTTCAGATAAAGTCTAAACCACGCAGAGATTTTACACTTTGTAGAGGTTCGATTCTCGTTTACAACAATTAGTTTGCTTTACCATAGCGTTGCAATGAGCAAAGGATGCTAAGTGACGCCAATCTACCGAGTATCCTGTTCGTTCCGCGACTCACTTTGCAGGGCCACACTGATTAGTGCTATAGTATTTTGATAACCTCTTCTTGGAGGAATTCGGCAGATCATATTAATTTCAATTAACTACGATGATTGCTTCGTTTAGCCCGGGCATTGAGGTCTGCCAGAAAATCAGACTAGTTGAGAACAGTCAAGTGTGATTCCTGTTCTACGTTCCACACAGATGACCTGATAATGTTGAAGTTCGTGAGATTTGGATACCAATTCGTTAACTGTAACCCAAGTAGCTTCAGAAAAACAGTTCACAACGCGTTTCATTTTCTTTGAGATTCATTAGGTAGGTTTAGTGGGTTCTGCCGCGCATTGCTTGCTTGACAACTTTTACGGTTTACCTCACCCCGGGGGGGACGACTTAATCCACCTGGATGTAGGATGAATATTTGTAAGAATGATTTCTTGGTTTCATTCGATCGGTGTAAGTTTTCAAAAACTTCAGCTAATAGAAGACAGCTTAGCGTCATTCATAACTTTTTCAGGCTCCCCAAGAAAGACTGACTAAAAGTAGTCCCCGCCCTGGAAGTGGTCTCTAGAGGGGAAGACAACTGCATTTGAAGAGCAGTTTTAAAGTGAAATGTGCTCGCAGACATGTGAAACGCCCCCTTGATGGATGACAGTGAATCACGGGCAAGGGTGTCGACAACACAATTAGATTCGGTGGAAATTAATAGGCTCTCAGCAATGTGTTGCAAACAAAAAAATTGACACGTGACCAGGATTTTGTGACCATTACTGTCAACACCGCCCGGAGCGACAGCGTGCGCTGAGGGAGCACGGGTGACATTCTCACCCCGCGTGTCACACGGGTGAAAACTTGGCACTTTTCACAGTCTTTTACATCAGTCGAATATACGTCTGTCCACATCAGTGAAATGATCCCACTAGGAAAACATTAGGAGTGCTCAAAAGAGAGTAAGGCGATAACTAGTTGATACATGGCGTACGTTGTTATCAATGTCCACAAAATATCACACAATTTGAACCATATTTTGAAAATTAGCGTTTCTACCTTAAGGTTTCAAAACAGAATTTGGGACTGCGCCCACCTGATGAGCCCCAAGAAGGGCTCACAGTCTATATGTGTTGATTGACAGGATCGGTGGTGATGTGCACAGAGATTGAAAAGTTTTCACACATCGGCTGGGATAACTCATTCGCAGTGCTCTAGCAATAGAGGCGAGAGGCAGCGCATATTATTTGTATCCATAACTGAAAAATACGTTTACGAGCGGGAAAATACCGTATGAAATCTCAGGAATAGATCTAACCTGAAAAAACGACAAATAAGCTTATAAACGTTGAAGATGTGATCTTTCGTAGATCATGTAAGTAGTACAGTACCACTTGTGAGTAGTTTCCTTTATGAAAATATACTGCGATATCTCGAATATCGTACCAACTGAAACATG